AGCACAGGCAACGCTGGGAATTAATAATCACACGAGGCAGGGTTCCCCTCACTGCTCTGCCATTGCCCCTTAACCCAGGGGTCCCCAACCCCCGGGCCGCGGACTGGTACCCCCCCCCCCCCCCCCGGTCCGTGAAATAATTGTTTTCGACAAAACCGGTCCTTGGTGCCAAAAAGGTTGGGGACCGCTGTCTTAACCCACATAAAATATTAAGGAGAGCGGAGAATGGTTGTCGTGTTATTAGATTCCTGAGCGAGAGGGCCAACACATTTGTACCAGTTGGGATGGGGAAACAAAAAAAGGCCCGAATCAACATCCTCCTAACAGAATTCAAAAACGTAACTTGCTTTCGACTGTACGCACAGCGTGCAATTCTTGCTGATGCGCGTATCGCTTGGGAGTTTTTGTGCACTGTTTATTTCCGTGACAAAACTAAATTACTGCGCAGCGGCGTAGGTTTCACGGGAGAGATGCGTGCGTGCGTGCGTGCGTGCGCGTGCCCTGCTCGCAAAACGTCCCTTAGAACCGTCGCGTCGTCACGACAGGGGCATTGTGACGGCCGCCGTGCGCTGTCCGCCTGCGCGCGCCGTTGCGTCCGAAAGACACGCGCGTGTTTGGAGTATCCCGCATGCGCGCTTGCGCCAGTCTCTGCGTCTCGTGGCAGCCGGGCTCGGGCTTCCTCGTCCATGCGACGCCTCGAGACGGCGCTTCCCGATGGGGCCCGGCGGCTCCAGGGCTAGCGTCCCATGTTAGAGCGCAGGGCAGTCACCCAAGATCAAAGCAGCCGCTTAAGTCATCTTCTTCCGTGCGGCTCAAAGCAACAGTGACGATGGATGCCCGAGTCCTGGGCTGGTTATCCGACGCATCGCTCCATTGGAGAAGAGCGGTGTCGCTTTGGGTGCCGCCAGAGTCCGGTCGCTTTGGGTGCCGCCAGAGTCCGGTCGCTTTGGGTGCCGATTGGCGAGGTGTGCGCCGCGGCTTGAATCTATTGCCATGCCGTGTGCGGATTGCGGCGCAGAGTGGAACATATTCATCTTCTGTGCGGTCCGTTTGGTGGTTCAAGTTCAGTCAAATTCATCGCTTCGCACAATTAGTCCGGCGGAGGTTGGATTCGTGCCGCGTTTGACGTCCTCACAAAAGCTTTTGCGGCCTTTTGCTCTCACGACGGACGCACTGCCGGGCACGTGATGGTGCGGTGACGCCCCCGATTTTTTTATGCCATCCCACACCAGATGGAAAGTAAAAAAATATATATCTACATTTGGACACAAAAATCAAGGCCGTCGTGAGCAGAGCGTAGTGCTCGCCAATGTGATCCTGCTGGGCTGATCGCCGGGAGGGCTCCTGCCCAAGGCCAGAGGCACGGCCGGCGGCACTAAAGCCCCGCCACGCTGCGGTCCCCCGACGGCGGGGAAGGGAGCGTGAATTGCCACTCGAGAGAGGGCCGGTTGCCCACCAGCAGTTTAGCGGTGCTGTGAGAACCATAGGCAGGGTCATCTGATTAACACGTAGGAGGCTTTCGCGGCCTATGCTATCCATAATAAAGGGTTTTTTGTTGGGTTAGATCGCGTGAATATCAATGTGTCGTTAAACCCGCCACCACCCGATACAGCCAATTAGTAAGGTTTGTCACGTAAACAGAACGTGCCAATTAGTTTAAGTAGTAACTGCTAAAGTAGTAACTGCTGAAGTAGTAACTGCTGAAGTAGTAACTAATTGGCACGTTTTGTTTACGTGACAAACCAAACTAATTGGCTGTGTCAGGGTGGTGGCGGGTTTAACGACGCATTTATATTCACGCAATCTAACCCAAACAAAAACCTTTGTTAGGGTCCTCTGACTGGTGCAGTGGAGAAAGCCGCATTGGGCCCATATTTTAAAGATTAGCCTCTTGGCCCAAATCCTCACTTTCACACCCAGTGCCCTGAGCTCATTTTCTCATAGAATGTGCCACGGAGGGCCATCCTTATGATTACACTGTTTAACAAAAAAAATTGTTCCTGGGTAGTAAGTGTTATTTCCTAATTGCTTATGCCTCAAAAGTACAGAAAATAGCTATTATTCCCCACAAACTTTGCTTTTCTAACCAGGATAGTGACATTTTGAAATGTAACTGTTTTCAATGAGAAAACGTGTGCATTTGTGTCATTCCTTCACGTAAAGTCCTGGTCACAAAAGCAAAGGTTGTGGGGAATAAAACCATTTTCTATACTTTTGAGGCATAAGCAATTAAAAAATAACACTTAGTACCTAGGAACAAAAAATTGTGTTACATAGTGTTACCAATCGCATAGAAGTGATGCAATACGCAGCCAGAGACTCTTCGAGATACAGTTTATTTAAAATTGTTTACGACAGAGTGGGGAAGCTCTGCGATTGCTCCCTGGTTATGTCCACAGCTGTTGATAATCACACCAACGGATCCCAAACAAATGGGCCCATATCTGTGTACGTTCCAAAGTCGTGGGGACCTTTCTGTTTATTGTGAACGCTTTAACTGGGGAACAAGTCATGTTAGAATCGGTCTTGCAATGCGAGACCAAGGAATGCATTGCTGCAATCGTTACTGATCAACTTCAAACCTATTGCAATATTTCGAAATTTGACTCAGAGCATTTGGACTACTTTAGTATAAAAGTTTAACTACCAACAGACATCTTGCCTAGAACGTGAGCTGTGCAGCTTCCTCCGGTGAGGCTATCTTCAAGTGCCTCCGAAATTCACGCAAGAAATCTCGCCTCATGGCGATGGTGGACAGCACTTCAGATCCCTTGTAGGTTGAAGGTGCATCCTATGTAAACTCAATTATTTTTTATTTTACCAGGTGTAAAGTCACCTGAGCTACAAAGCTATTTTTCAGAAAGCGACCTGGTCACAAATGATAACTCAAATAAGTGGCTTTTCGCGTGGAAAATTTGTAGCAGCCAAATACTCTGAACGCATTTTGATGCTTAATGTGGAGGGCAAAACCCGAGGACCCGGAGAAAATTCCACGTGACCACGGCGAAAACAAGTCCAAATGTACAGCAGTCGTCAGGGCAGGAATCGAACCCACCACCTCCTGTATACCAGGCGAGGTAGTTAACATCTCGCCACCGCGACGTCTGTGTTTCCCAGGGCCGGAGTGAGACCAGTTTGAGGGCTGATGAAAAACACCATAAAACGCCAGATTTTCATCTTTGACAAAAATGGAATAACGACCCCACCTTGAGTCTTGACTTAAAGCTTTCGTGACTGCAGGAATTCATATTCTTTGGGTCTTTCGGTAAAGTCACGTAGATAGCTTCATATGAATAATTAATCCTTGACTTTACCGAAAGAACCAAAGAATATGGACCCCACCTTGGCAGCGTGCCCCATTACCTGTAACGGAGACATTTGTCATTTTTGACAAAAAATCGGATGAAAGGGCAAACTTTACAACAGTGTAGATGGAGCCAAACAATTTCACATTGACCTACTTTTATACAGAAACACACCTTATATTTCACAAATGTTATTGAAAAAATTCGACCCATACTGATGACTCAAGGCTTGCCTTTCACCCATGTGGCTGTTGTGCCTGAACCTACTCGAAGTTATTAATACTGAGAGGCACACAAGATAAATGTGCAGTATACATTAACATAACAATTAGGACCCTCCAGAAAAATAGTTTTGGAGCCTCTGCGAGGCTTCCGTGGTTAAATATTAAAATGTATTTCTATGGCAGAATTATACAGGAAGTGGTCACAACTGTTCAAAGGCATGCACGGATGTAGCTCATTAAAGTGTTTACCATTCGTTGTTTCAGCCTGTGCAAATTCACTGTTGAATTAATTGTGCTGTAGTGTCCGGTGCGGTAAGCGCAGTGGTTTGGAGTGGCGCTGCTTAGCGATCGGGGAAGGATTTGAGTTACAATCCTGGCAGGGGGTCGACCCAGCTCTGCATTGGCATTTAGTTTGTGAGAATTCAGCAAGTGGTTCCCTGTCAATGTATTGGCCACTGCCATGGGAATGTGGAATTTCCACCACTGGGTGAGGGCTTTAAACAGGTGATGAGTATCACCATTTATAAGAATAGTTTTTACCCTTTCTGGCAATAAAACAGTTGTGTTAAGATGTGAAAACACCAAACAGAACCTTTTGCAAGGAACCATGTCCGCATCAACCACATGTACTTGTGGTGAAGATGCAAACAAAACACCGTGCACTGGTAGTAAGTATGTCCTGATGGTGGCATTGTCTTTGTACTGTTCGCCTTTTGGCGTCCTCTGGTCTAACGTCGTTTGAGACTAGGCTCAAAAGAAAGCTGTCTCTGCTGTGGACCAATCAGTTTCAAAGACGATGCATATACTATCAGAGCATGCTTTTTTGTTTGCATCTTCACCACAAGTATATGCGTTTAATGCGGACGTGATTCCTTGCAAACGGTTTCAGTTTGTTGTTGTAACATCTTAACACAACTGTTTTGTTGCCAGAAAGGGTAAAACCGATTCTTATATTGTGGTACTGGCAAGCGAGGTCCCATGATGTAGCTTCATTTGCTTGTTTGTGTGAGAAACCACTTTTACTTTAATTAAATATAAGCAGAGCTCTGTTTTGTGTCTCCATAATAGAAAAAGAGATCATTGTTTAGTCCAGTCAGCCTATTGACTTTCCAGACCAATATTATCAAGCAGCATTTGCTTAAGCACGTAAACTCTGAATTGGTTTCGACTTTCTGGATTTCATCACCATAGTTCTGGCTTGTGAAACACATTCTGCTAGATTTCCAGATATTATTGGCGAGAGCGCTCTGAATAAAAAAATATGGCATTGCATTCGATGCAAAAATGTGTTTGTTGCTGTTAAAAAATATACAAGGCTAACATTAGCTTATTGTGAATTTCTAAAAAGTAGGTGAACCTAAGAATGTTTTTAAATGCCACATCATGCAAAGTCAAATTGCTATGCAGATGACAGATTCTTCACGAGTTCACAATGTGCACATATGTGTGGGCGTTCGTGTCTGTGGCATAGGTCAGAACAACTATCTGTGCGCGGGGCGAAATGACTGCATCATCGACAAGATCAGAAGAAAGAACTGCCCAGCCTGTCGCCTCCGCAAGTGTTGCCAGGCGGGAATGGTGCTGGGAGGTATGACATCATTATTGTTACTATCATCATCATCATCATCATCAACAGCCATGATCAATCCACTGCTGGCTGAAGGCTTCCCCACGTCATCCCCATCCCTCACTGTCTTGCGATTCCACAAATCCATTGCCGCTTCAGCGCATGAGCCCAATGTAATCGCCCCTTAACTCCACTGTGGTCGTCCTTATCTTATATTAATTTATACAGCGCCTCGACCAAGGCGCTGAACAAAGAATTAACTATTTGTACAGCAGACTTGTGTGATGAGATGAGTTGATGAGAAGGATGGTAGTGCACGTGTGTACGTTGAATTTCTTTCTCATCGTACATAGCCAACCGCGCTAATCGGAGGTGCGGGGGAAGCACAACAAACTAAAGACAAAAAGCAGCTCTAAAGAAATTAGTTTTCAATCTAGATTTAACAATCCATAGATCCAGTAGCTTCCTAATATCAGAAGGAAGAGCGTTCCAGACGGACGCAGCAGCGCATCTGAAAGCGCACGATGCGGTAACCGTCTTTGTTCGATGGTTAGCCAACATCTGCTGCTGTGAGGATGACCACCGGAGTTTGCGCGATGGTCTATGCTCGTTTGACGAATATGATTACGCGTGAAATAAACGACGATGAAAGTGACAATGAGCAGTTAACGATGAGTGAGTGTGATGAATGGGTAGGGAAGTTGGGAAGTGGGATGGAGTTCGTGATGGGAAAGGCAAAGTCTAAGGGGCCTTCCTGCCTCCGGCTGCCCTTCCATTAAAAGTCTCATCCATCGGCAATGATTTTTTATGGTAATGTGACCTGCCCAATGCTTCTAATTGGTCGGTATTGTGCCTCTGTTCTCTGTGCTAATTTTTTTATGCCCTCGGAGTATTTCCCAGGATGCCTCTCACCAAGCTATTTCAGTATTCGCCGTCATAATTTTCCAAAAAATATGATGACCATCATGATTATCATCACCACTGTGATTACAATCGTCGGCATCATCGTCTTTCACCTTCACCGCCGTTCGTGAAATCCCCCTTGAAATTCCTACTTTGGCTCACGCGACAGCACCATAACCTCTCGATCTGGCATTTTTGTTGTGCAGCGCGTTTACTATTTGCCGATTCCACACGTGCGGCGTCATCGCACTGTCCCATTGCAGCACGGACTCGTGAACGTAGACAGATAATGATCAACTCGGGTCACCTAGATTCTGCCCGCGTTATGAAGTGCATGTGCGCGTATGGCTCTATTGCCAGGCCAGTGCCGGAAGAGGAGCCCCCACCCAACGCCTCGTGGATTTTGTGGGTTTCTTCACATGGCTGCTAATGGACCATCCATTTAGTAGGTACGCTAAAATATGTCAAAACGTGACCCCTCTGCGTACGTACGCTTGACGCACTCCCCCCCCCTCCGAATCCGATAGAACGGACGATATTTTATCCACGGCGAAATGATCAATGATGAATAATATTAACGTGTTTAAGCAAACAGATAGTCCACCGCCGGACTATCTAACTCATTTGAAGGCCAATGTAGACAAATTATTATCGAGGCTTCATCCCCCCCTTCCCCCCGTTGTCAGTAGACCCCCCATTCGCAAACGTACGCATTTGGGTTAACCCCCCTTCCCCCCTCCATGCGTAAGTACTAAATGGATGGCCCCAAAGTGCGGGTTGGTAAGGCAGGTCAGCGTGGGATGATTTTTCGGCAACATTTTCTGCCCACAACGGAGGCCCCAACCATTGGTGTCTACCAAGCGCTATCCACGCCCATCCCTGCTGAGCTTCCGACATCTCAACGAGATCCGGTGCATTCTGGGTAATTTGGTCAGAGACAATGCCTACACCCCTCTCCCATCTCTCTCTCCCCCCTTTCTTACCTATATAACCTCTTGCCACGGCAGCTCTCTCGCCTACTTCAGCATGTTTTCTTGCTGTGGTTGTTCCACCTGATGAGGATTGCTTGTGTTGCGATCGAAACGTCGCAATTTGTTCTATTTCATTTCATTTCTACCTACGTGACTTTACCGAAAGAACCAAAGAGTAGTACCTACGTATGTCGAACTTATTTCGCACCGTACGTAGCCAACCTTGCTAAACGGAGTTGCGGGGGCAAGGACAACACACTAAACGCAAAAAAACAGTTCTAAAGAAATTAGTTTACAATCTAGATTTACAAAGTGGATAGCTCCAGTGGCTTCCTAATAAATACAGAGTGCTTACCACAAATAGTTTGCTCGACTCAATGCTTGTTCAGGGATATTGCTGAAATATACACGGTGTTTTGTGAGTGTGCCAAAAGGAGCGTCACGACACAAGGGTGAGAGTGCGCTGTGTGACTGCCACGTGTAAAAGCATTCGCTAAATAAATGAACGAGGGTGAGAACTGCGCCAAGGATTTTGAAATTACAGAACCGGCCTTTAAACGTCCTCGTGAGAGACACCATTTCGCGATGAGCAAGAACTCTCGAATGAGTTGCTTTATGAGCTGTCGCTCGCCCACGGCAGAACGAGTCTTGTGTGGGCGTCAGGTGCGTGTCAATCGGCAGGTTCAGTCCTTCGTCGGAGGGTCAACGTGCCTCTCCACGCAACAGCTTTGCGAGAGATTAAAACTCTCGGAGCTATTAATAAAGAGCAAGGCAACTGAACACTTTGTGAACTCGAGGCGTAACCACAAGTGTGACCATGTGTCCTTACTCTTTGGGAGATAAATGTGGGGGGAGGGGGGGGTCAGGCATGGTACCAACCGCACTCCCTCCCTTGGGCAGCCTTGGCCTTGATAGTCGCTCACTCGTACAACTTTCCGAAACAGTTAATTTTGTTAAATGGGATATCTTTAGCTGGCTAAATGTATAGGTGTTCGTGTGTGTTCGTGTTGGGGGAGCGGTAGTGTAGCGCTTAGCGCGCTGCAATACAAAGCTGGCGACCCGAGTTCGATCCCCGATTATCTGAACCGGTCCTGGGCCTCCCCTAGATCGACTCAGCTTCAAATTAGTAGCTGGTGCGGTGTGTAAACATCGCTACTGGGGAGACAAAGGCGGTCGGGTGTGGGGCTGGCCACCCACCCCCTCGTGTGTCGTGCCGGCCTTCATAGGTGCTCGCTCACAGCACTTGCCCCAACAGTCTGTTCAGGCTATAAGGGGGATCTTTGTTCTTTGTTGTGTGCGAGTTTATGTGTGAGTCTTTGTGAGAGAGAGAGAGACTGTGTGTGTATGAGCGAGTGTGTGAGACTTTGCATTGAGTTCGTGTGCGAGTGCGTGAGCTTGTGTGAGAGAGAGACTTTGTGAGTGTGTGCGTATGGGGAGTGGTACCGGAGCAATCTGCGATTATCTGAACCGGTCCTGGGCATCCCCTAGGTCGACTCAGCCTCAAATGAGTACCTAGTGTGATGTGTTAAAACACCGCCACTGGGGAGACAAAGGCGGTCGGGTGTGGTTCTGGCCACGCACCCCCTCGTGTGCCGTGCCGGCCTTGGTAGGTGCTCCTCGCTATTAAACGTATGCCCTCGGGGTGCCCCTTGATAGGAAGGGGGAGCACGCTGATTAGAACGACTCCCGGAGCATCTCCTTCCTCAGTGTGCTGGCAAGGTCGTGGCAATGATCATCTCGCGAGGCATGTTGAGGAGTGTGCCCGTGAGGGCGTGTGCATCTGTGTGTGTGTGTGCGTCTATGTGTGTGTGTGCATGCGTCTGTGGGGAGCGGTAGTGTAGCTGTCAGCACGGGGCTACTAACCTGGCGAGCCGAGTTCGATTCCGGCTCACAGTCACCACCACCAGTGACGATTGTATGAACTGGTCCTGGGCTTACCCGAGGTCGACTCATTCTCAAATGAGTATCTGGTGCGGTGTATAAACTCCCAACTCGGGAGACAAAGGCGTCCGGGTGTGGTGCTGGCCACCCACCCCTTCAAGAACCTTGCTTCATAGGTGCTCGTTAACAGCATTTACCCCAACAGTCTGTTAAGGGTATACAGGGGGTCTTTGCGAGAGTCTGTGTGAGTGTATGCGTGAGTGTGCGTCTGTGTGAGTGCGTGCGTGAGTGTGCGTCTGTGTGAGTGCGTGCGTGAGTGTGCGTCTGTGTGAGTGCGTGCGTGTGCGTCTGTGTGAGTGCGTGCGTGAGTGTGCGTCTGTGTGAGTGCGTGCGTGAGCGTGCGTCTGTGTGAGTGCGTGCGTGAGCGTGCGTCTGTGTGAGTGCGTGCGTGAGTGTGCGTCTGTGTGAGTGCGTGCGTGAGTGTGCGTCTGTGTGAGTGCGTGCGTGAGCGTGCGTCTGTGTGAGTGCGTGCGTGCGCCTATCTTATTTCGCACGGTGCGATGCTTAGCTCTGCACCAACGTGCTGACACTCTTGAATCATATTGCGCGCCCACATTTGCTTTGTGAATGCCATTAACAGAATTCAATTGGCATTTACGTAAATTGAAATGAAATCACGGGGCTTCGGCAGAAGACGTAAATCCCACTCGTACAAATAAACAAAAAAACCGCATCCGATGCTCAGCGACTGGATCATTAAGATGAAGGTGACCGTGAAACTATGAGCCCCACTGCTCTGCATTGTCATTGGAGCCTGCAGAGGTTGAGACTGCTTTGAATTTATTTTTGTTGGTTATTGGGGGTGTTTGGGCTCATGCTGGGTCGTGTAGCCCACATGTCCAGCAACTGCATGCCTTAACAGCTTTTATATAAAATAAATGAAAACAACTAAATTAAATCACGACGTTTCGGGCGCAACACAAGCGTCCTTCTTCAGCTGGGGACCTACGTGACTTTACCGAAAAAACCAAAGAGTATGAATCCTTGCAGTCACGAAAGCTTCAAATCTAGAATTAACAGCTTTTGTTCGGCCGAATAGAGGGGAATAAATTGGCGCAGCACGGGCTAGAGAGGAGATGGAGTGATGTGGTACAAGAGGACGTGGAGCTGAGTGGACTGGCGATGATTGGTACCAGTGGTGTTAAGGTCGGACTCTGTGGAGGAGGCTAGTGAAGGACGCTACTGGGCAGTTGGAGGCAGTCGCCC